TTTACTATATAGAGAGAGAGACGACCCGACTACCTTCGTAATAGAAACAATGTTAACCATAAATAGTAGAGAGAGAGAGAGAGAGAGGTCCAATTAGCTTTGAATGAACCATGTTAACTATCAAATGGAGAGCGAGTAAGATAGAAATATTGAGGCGTGAGATAGAGCATCCAGGTTAGCCATACAACGAGTGGGAGAAAGGTAGGGGGACTGCACAAGTGGGCCATCTTCTGGTTCTGCCCCATCCTTTAGAGAGACACAGAGAGGGTCCGACAATGGCTGCTGCAGTTCCGGCCTCGACGCAGCTATCGCTCCCCCACTCACGGTCACTCTCGCGCCTGAGCACCGCCGGAAAATACTCCGACGTGAGAACCCCAAAGTGCCCTCACCGGAGGACCTTAATTTCCGGCACTACCCTCAGAATTCGAGCACTAGCAGTGAGCACAATGCAAGCATCTGCCCCAAAGAAGAAGAGCTCTTCTTATGACTTACAACCCCTAACAAGTTGGCTTCTTAAGCAAGAGCAAGCTGGTATTATTGATGCAGAATTAACAATTGTTCTCTCAAGTGTCTCTATGGCTTGCAAGCAAATAGCTTCCCTGGTTCAAAGAGCTGGTATCTCTAATCTCACTGGCGTTCAAGGTGCCATTAATATTCAAGGAGAGGACCAAAAGAAACTAGATGTAGTGTCCAATGAGGTAATTTAGTTGTTTTTAGAAATTTTTTAGAAAAAATTATTATAAAAAAACAAGGTTTTTAAAAATAGTTTATTGATAATTTTTTTTATCATCATGAATCTTGATCTGCCATTCTGATTTGTTCCGTCATTCTAATTTATTAGTAGTTATTTGATTGATATTTCTTTATGTAGTGGGTGTTCATTTCCTATTTTATTGCTTGTTCCTTTTTTTCATTTATCACGAAAGAGAAGATTTATCATTTGTTATTACTGTTGAGGCTTTGTGGTATTGTTTTTTTTTTTGTTTTCGGGATGGTATAATGTGATACTCTTGACCAAGGGGATATGTAGTCACAAGGATCATCACCATCCAATCATTTGTTCTAGGTTCATGGGAGAGAGTTGAAAGCTATCATGTACTGGGTCCCAAGCTCTATCCATCACTGTCCAACCTATTGATTGGATGCTAATAATCCTTATGATAGTCATACGGTACAAGAGTAGATTGTATCCTTGTTACGTAGGGCGGAACTCCAAAAGATTTTTTTGTCTTTTTGAAATTTTGAAAAACATAGATTTCGTTATCAAAATAAAAATTCGAGAAAATCTTAAAAGTTAGGGAAATTTTGGAGACTTGCAAGCCTAGAGTCACTCGGTTCTTGGTCTGGTCCCAATAAAGGCTAGTTCTGAGTCGAACCGGCAATTTTTTAAACACTATTGTGAACTTTTGCGGCTTTATTTTACAATTCCTAATTAATTGTCTAAAATGTATGACTTTATTGTCGGTCCTCTCTGATTGCCTCGCATTTGATAATTATGTAGGTCTTCTCCAATTGCCTAAGATCAAGTGGAAGGACTGGAATTATAGCCTCCGAAGAGGAGGATGTACCAGTTGCAGTGGAAGAGAGCTATTCAGGCAATTACATTGTGGTCTTTGATCCATTGGATGGCTCCTCAAATATTGATGCAGCAGTCTCCACAGGATCCATTTTTGGGATTTATAGCCCTAATGATGAGTGCCTTGCAGACATCGGTGATGATGAAGCGGTATCGTCTTTCTTTACATAATTGATCAATTTATTTAATGTATTTTAAAATTATAAATTGTATAATTGAATTAAGAAACTTTGAAAATATTGTGAATTATTTATTTAATCTAATTAAGAAGCAACCGCTAACTAGTCAAGCCCAAGACTAATTCCTTCCTCTCTTAATCTGTTCAACATTTAAGCGAGTCAATACTTTTGATTTTTTAAAACAAAAACATTTTTTTAGTACTAATAACTTTTAGACTGAACAAAGGCTAGAATACATCTTTTAGCTATTAAAAAATAGTTAGCAATTCATATACATCATTCTATGTAAGAGTTATGTGCCATCAGTGAAATAAGAAATAAAGAGTTTGGTTCTTTATCTAAATTTTTAATTTATTTTTGATTAATTATTTAAAAAATTTCTAAATAAAAAAAAAAATTTATATAACTTAATTTTTAAAAATACATGAGAAAATAACCTAACAAAATTGCAGGCATTAAATTTTTTATTAAATACAAAAAAAATTATTAAAGGAATTGTCTACAAAAAACCCATTTACCTTTTAAACAACGAGGTCACACAACTATTCTCGCTCGTTACATAAACGTCAAATTGGATGGCTTGGAATGAGTAATGAGAAATCCACTCCTACAAAACCAGGTCCTCATCCCCAAAATTCAATAACATACCTAAAAGACGGATTAAAAAAGTTTGATCTCTTGCAGTATCAAACCTGCATAGCAAACTCCTATGCACTCCCCCGTCCCCTGGCGTTCCAGCTATATACTTTCATTACCAATCGACAAATCCTTTACTCTGACAATGGAGTTATCATTGGCGGAGTCAAAGCTAGAGCTGTATCTTTTTACATGAGAAATGCACTTTTTACAGTGTTCCAACCCATGATCTATGTATCTTTTTATGGGTAATTTGAAATTGAATCAAACAATATGGATACAATGTTAAACAGTTCAACTGACATGGGTATTTCAAAAAAATTCCCCTATGAGATCAATGAAATACTACCCACAAGCAACTAAAGTTTCCTTGATCCCCTCCTGTCGAGATAAATAAACAAAACTAAAATTAAAATAATAACCATAAGAAAATTACAAACCAAGAAACTGTAAATTTCTCTCATTGCACCACAATTGATAGGGAAAGATACTCTTCCCTCTCTCTCTCTCCTCTCTCTCTCTCTTATGGATGCTCCATTGTGGTGCACAGTTAGACCAACTGGAGCAAAAATGTGTGGTAAGTGTGTGTCAACCAGGAGACAACCTGTTAGCTGCTGGATATTGCATGTACTCAAGCTCAGTCATCTTTGTGCTCTCCATTGGCAATGGAGTCCACTCCTTCACCCTTGATCCCATGTATGGCGAGTTCGTTCTCACACAACAAGATATCAAGATCCCAAAACAGGGCAAGATATATTCCTTCAATGAAGGGAACTACAGGCTTTGGGATGAGAAGCTCCAAAAGTACATGGATGACCTCAAGGACCCCGGCCCTTCCGGCAAGCCGTACTCAGCCAGGTATGAGAGAGAGAGGGAGTGGTATCATAAATGTTCAAAAAATAAAATGATATTTATGTATTGGAAAAAATCATGTCAGCCCACTCGCTTATGGAATAGTGTAAACCCAACAGCTTAAATAATTATATTTTGTATTTAAATTGTAATATTTTTATACAAATATAAATCACTTGAAATTTGAATCATCTATTTGTTTTCATCAAAGTACATCTAATAAAAATATTAAAAAAATTATTCGTAAAAATTAAATCGATCAAAGTACCACAATAATTTTTAAAAGTTTTTGGTCAATTTATTTTCAATAAAATATCTTTTAATACTTTTATTAGGTTCTTCTATTTTTCAAGATTAGATTTGTAAAATTTCAAGTGAATTAAATTTGTAAAAATAATATTAAAATTCAAATGCGAAATACAATTGTGACTATTGGATCGACTCTGATTCAATCTGGTATTGGGCGTTTATTGTAGCTGTCAGCTAGTGAGTTGATCACAGACTTTCCCTATACATATTGTAAAAAACAAAAGTAGGTTTTTAAGTTCTAAAACTAATGCATATTATAAAAATATATATATCTAGACCATCCATGTTCAAGACTTTCGAATGTTTATAGATCTATTGCATTTGCATCATTTTTTGAGCTTTAAATCCACAATTAGGGGTGGAAATCTGGCACTAATATTGCATCCTTGGAAAAGGATTGAAGGTGCGCCTTGCTTGGATTGCTTAAGGTTCATGCTTTATATAGCCTATTTAACAAACTCCAACTAAAATATCAACTATTCTAATCCTCGGATGGATTTTTCAAATTAAATTAAAAGGAATGAATGCGATGTTAAATAGTTCATATCCAGAGTACTTTTTTATTAGTTCTCTTCTTCATATGAATGATATCAGCAAAATTTTAGTTGAAAAATAGAAAAACCTTTTAGCTATATATTTTAAAGAAAAGCATACAAAGCAACCAATTACTCTTAATATAAAGAGGTTGCAATCATTCTTGTCCGTCAAATTTCAAATATAATAATTGTAAGTGTGGTATTGACAAGACTCAAAATTCAAAAAAGATAAATGGTCTCATAACATACAATCCCATATTTTAAAGCTCGACATACAGTGCAATATAAGCCATGTTGCTTATACAAGTTATCATGAGAGAAAGCATGAAAAGAGTACGCATACCTAGAGGCACAATTTAAGCACACTGGAGAACTGTATCTTTTTCATTTTCTTTAAAAGTTGACTAGTAAGTTCTTCCATGATTGTTGGGATTTACAGGTATATTGGAAGTTTGGTGGGAGATTTTCATAGAACATTGTTATATGGAGGGATTTATGGGTACCCAAGAGACAAGAAGAGCAAGAATGGGAAGCTAAGGCTGCTGTATGAGTGCGCACCCATGAGCTTCTTGGTGGAGCAGGCTGGTGGTAAGGGGTCTGATGGTCACAGAAGAATCCTCGACATACAACCTGAGGAGGTGAGAGAATCAAACCACTTATTTCTTAATATTTCAAAGAGAGAGAGAGAGAGAGAGAGAGAGAGAGTGATATATTATCATGTGTCTGATCAACACAAAAGCTTGTTTAAGTCGACCTTCCTATCTTTGTTTAAATTCAAATTGCCCACCTAAGACTCATTGAAAAATATCAAAATGATCAAAATGCCTCTGGTAGTTTTCTACCAAGGTTATGAGAAGAGCAACTGCCTCAATTATGCTATCCCTTACCACATACTTTGAATTTTTTTCAAATTTCCACATGTTTTCCTTTCCGACCACTCCCACCTGCTCCACTGTAGCCACAACAGATGTATAGTGAATTTCAAGTCCAAAAAACCCTGCTTTCGATTGACAAATTGATGAAAAATTTGTTCAAGAGGTGAAATGCGGTGCGGCAAGTTTTTGCCGCAATTAGCTGGAAAACAACAATTCCTCGGCTATTTCTCAACCGTTTTCTGTGAGATCCATTTCTCTGTTGTCTCAAATAACACCTCATCAGTTTCAACTAAAAAGATGGATCAGTCTTGAGTTGTATAATTACCAGAGCACTTAAGAGAGTCAACACGCTACGAATTCTTTAACAGTCACCTCACTCGGCCCAGTTTTATCCTAGGTGTATATTTGCCCAAGACTTGATTGCATCTTAAAAAAAATTATGTTGATGACATCTAAATACTTTGTGAACAATAGGAACATCCCATGAGTCTCAGTTCAATTGAATTGAAGCACAACCAAAAAGGAGTTCAAAATTGCACTTCCACCTTGCTCAGAGCCTCCTCTTTTTGCAAAACATGGATCCTGGTGTGACTTCAACTATCACTGCTTCAGTGACATTGGCTATGAGTACCGTTTGCATTCGGGTGGTTCCATTTAGTTGAGAATCAAACGTGAAAGTGTGAACTAGCTTCTCGATATGCTGAAAGTTCCCGAGCATCATTTAAGAGGATTAGTAGCAACTTTCAAAAGATTGAGGATTATGCAAATTCCTATCATTCACCACAATTAACTAAGAACCCTCATTTCAATCCATAGTTTTGCAGAGTTTGGACTTGCTTGGCACAACTTGACTGAAATCTTATTCCTAATCCAGGTGAGCTTTCTGCAAGTAACCTCAATAAGAGTGGTAAACCAATCTTTCACCCTGGCTAATTATAAGGAGGCCATCTTTCGCCACATTTAAGCAGAAATGGTGAACTCTCACCGAGTTAAATGTATTTCAGTCATGGTTTGGCCTCAGATAGATCTACACTGAAAATTAACCATGAAATCTTACATCTAAATTTTTGCAAGATCCAAAAGCCAATGAGATAGAGAGAGATTACATTTGCATTGCCTATCATCAATGAGACCAGATTACCAGGCGCATGACAATCAACAATATGTGAAACGTTTAAAAAAAATTATGTATTTTCCATTTTTTAGATAAAGATAATTTCATGTCATTACAAACTACATGTGATTAACTGTTTACTTGTGCTGTTACAGATCCACCAGAGGGTTCCTCTTTACATTGGGAGTGTTGAGGAAGTTGAGAAAGTGGAGAAATACTTGTCATGATAAACAACTCTTCAATCTTTTATATGCTTTTTTTTTTTTTTTCGTGAAGCTCTGTGATGGAAAAGAATAAATTACCAAGTATTATGTGATGAATTATGTTTGCAATGAAAGAATTGTGATTTCTTTCAGTTATGAGCTAATAAGACAGATGCACTAGTTAGAATACTTATGAACCATTATATATATAGAGAGAGAGAGAGAGAGAGAGAGAGAGAGAGAGAGAGAGCGTGG